GGCTCCGAGGCGCGCCTCAGCCTCGCCACCTTCCTGCTAGGCGCCTCGGTGCTCGCGCTGCCGCTGCTCACGCGCGCCGGCCTGCAGGGCCGCACCGCGCTGGCGCTCTACGTGGCCGGGCTCAACGCGCTGCTGCTGCTGCTCTACCGGCCGCCGCGCTACCAGGTGCGGGCCTGGCGGGGGCTGGGGCGGGGGCCGGGGGCATTGGGCGCTGCCCGTGGCACCTTGCCGCCGGGGTCGGGGTCGGCCTGGAGGAGGGCCCGCAAGAGGAGCTGCCTCCCCGGGCGTGTTGTGTAGCCGCGAGTTCAGGTGGCAGGAGGGACCCCGCTTCTCCAGGGTCGGGGGACGTGGGGCGCGGGCCCCCTCCACCCGGCGGAGTGGGTGGGAAATTGCAGTTGGTGCGGTTCAGCAGCTGCGGCAGATGCGCTGGGATGGGGAATGAGCGAGCCCACGAGTTCTTTTATGTAATTTAAGGTGTGGAGACCTACCTGCTGCCAAGTCTGAGGTCAAAGGCCCCGCAGTTACGTGGAGGGGGCTGGGCGCAGAGTCCCGGGTGCCCGGACCAGATTGGCTGTATGGACTTGGGAGAAGCCGGCCAATTAACTAGGTTCACGCAGTTTTCCCACAGTCCTGAGTAATAATATCAATAACAATAATAGTAATGGCAGCTAAAACTTATGTAGCGCTTACTCTTACGTACTTTACATGGACAATCCTCACAGCAATCCTAAAAGGTAGGTAATATTATTATGCCCATTGTGTAGGTGGGGAAACCGGAGGTCCAGAGAGGTTAAGTAACTTCCCCAGGGCCACACAGCCAGAGAGGAGTGGGCTTGGGATTTGAACCCAGGCAGCTCTGCTTCACCCTCTTAACCTCTGAGCAAATGGGCTCTACGTGCTTGCCTGTGGCCTACTTATCCCAGGGAGTAGGATGTTTGCTCCTGCAGCCCAGAACAGCCGAGTGACTGAGATTCTTTCGGGTCCGTTTCAGATAGCCATCCGGGCTTGTTTCCTTGGCTTTGTTTTCGGCTGCGGCATGCTGCTAAGTTTTAGCCAGTCTTCCTGGAATCACTTTGGCTGGTAAGTACTCTGGGAATAATGGTTTTGAGGCAAGGATGGGCGGATCGGAGGGTCAGTAGTGATATTTCCTCATCCCTGACTGGCTGAAGGCTGTTTAGGGTTCCGTGGAATTGAGTTTTCTAGCTTCCACCTAGATCCCCGAATCTTGGATCTCGTGCCCATTGGTTGCTTCTGTTGCAGGCAGAAAGAGGTCGCCCTGGCACCCTCCCGACAGGTGCCCTCCTCAGTGATGTGACGAGCCCTTCCCGGAAAGGCTATAGGTCCTCTGTGACAGGATGGGGCAAGGCTCTGGCTCGTCTTCACGGGCCTTTTCCGTCTCTAATTTCTGTTAGGTCACATCTAGTGCATCCCCCACGGTCAATGTAGGATTTTTCCATACACTATGATTTCAGTCCCTTGAGCCTTCTAGTCCCTGACCTGGATATGAACCAGTGGCTTCAAGGTAAAAAGCTTTATCTCCTATTATCAATACCCTGAGCCATCGAATCCTTCTTTGCTGGAATTATTTCAGTTTTGTTGAATTTTTGTATTCAGCATACATCACTGCTTTATTTTGATATTTTTCTCCTTTATGTTTTATTGTCTGTAGTGTCATTTATTTATTTATTTATTTCTATTTATTTCTTTTTTTTGGGTGAGGAAGATCAGCCCTGAGCTAACATCCATGCCAGTCCTCCTCTTTTTGCTGAGGAAGACCAGCTCAGAGCTAACATCTATTGCCAATCCTCCTCCTTTTTCTCCCCAAAGCCCCAGTAGATAGTTGTATGTCATAGTTGCACATCCTTCTAGTTGCTGTACGTGGGACGCCGCCTCAGCGTGGCCGGAGAAGTGGTGCGTCGGTGCGCGCCCAGGATCCGAACCCGGGCCGCCAGTAGTGGAGCACGCGCACCCAACCACTAAGCAACAGGGCCGGCCCCCTGTAGTGTCATTTTTAAAAGGCTGAAGGGTCCATAATGCCTTCCTAACCTATGTTTGTTTGTTTTGCCTGTGACATTCAAAAAATGTAGTCCCTTTCAACCCCACTTTCTGCAAACCTGAGGGAGTCATGCTACATGGGTCCCTGATGTCCACTCTGACAGGTGACAATAGGACCTTGTTATAGAACTCAGGGACAGTTCAGCAGGCCCAAATCTGTACTGTAACTTGTGGCTAACTTGATTCTCTTGCACCAGCTTACATCTCTGTCTTTTTGTTTTTAAATAGGTACATGTGCTCCCTGTCATTATTCCACTATTCTGAATACTTAGTCACAGCGGTCAACAATCCCAAAAGTCTGTCCTTGGATTCCTTTCTCCTGAATCACAGTCTGGAGTATACAGTAGCTGCTCTTTCTTCTTGGATAGAGTTCACACTTGAAAATATCTTTTGGCCAGGTCAGTGTCCTTCTGGAGAGGAGAAGGGTGGCTTCCACTTGGGCCTGAGGACAGTGACGTGGGTTCGCCTCTCAGGTGTAATCTCCCTGGGACCTCTATCCCCACTAAGCTCTTTATAAAGGACGAGCTCAGCTTGTGAATTCCACTTCTGGATTTTGAATTAAGGATGTGTTGACCTTTTGCTTTAAACCTTGCATAACGTAGTGAACCATCTGATATGAAGTCCCAGCCTTTGATAGTCCTAATTTTACAGTCAGAGGAGACTTGGATCTGTTCGTTTTCTGTGACTTAAGAAATGTCATGTGAAGATTTTATTAGCATAAACCTCTGCATCTGGAACCTACTCTCAGGTTGAACTTTCCACAGCAAGTTAAATAAAATGTGTGGTTCCGAGGATTCAGTAAAGGGCCAAGGCAGGAAACACCGGATCCTTCTCTGCTTCACTAAGCTGTGCTTGTGCCCAAGTGAAGGATGGGAGTGTGTGGCTGGGGGACGTGGGCTGAGAGCCCATCAGCTGTGCCATGATGCTCTAATTGGGTTGTTGGCACTTTAAGTCAACGGATGAACAGCACAACTTAGGGTTTTTTTTTATAATTTTGCTTATAATTACATTTTAATGCGATGACAAATGCTAAATGCCCACTAGTATGTTTTCTAGTGTTCCTATCTTTGGAAAAACGGGTTAAGTTTAGTATTCGAAGGGGGAACTCTAGAGTCCAGTGTCTCCATTTCCCATGTGTCACCGATGTCTCTCCTGCAGAGCTGAAGCAGATCACGTGGCTCAGCGCCACGGGGCTGCTGATGGTGGTCTTTGGAGAATGTCTGAGGAAAGCGGCAATGTTTACAGCGGGTTCCAATTTCAACCACGTGGTGCAGAATGAAAAATCAGAAACCCATACTCTGGTGACAAGCGGAGTGTACGCTTGGTTCCGGCATCCTTCTTACGTTGGGTGGTTTTACTGGAGTATCGGAACCCAGGTATAGTATCAGATACGGCACTGGTCTCCTTTACATTTTTTTTACTTGTTTTTAGTTGACATATAATTCACATATCATAAAATTCACCATTTCAGAGTGTACAATTCATTGGGTTTTAGTGTATTCACAAGGTTGTTGGTTCTCTTTAAATAGGTACATGTGCTCCGCCATGTTTCAAGTGATAATAAAGGTCAAAAGAACTGATTTAGTCCGTAACCTTTTTTACTATATACCTAAAATCTGGGCGTCCTAAACTTGTAAATTCGGTGATTTTGGGTGCTGTTACCCCATCTGCCATATCCTTCTCTGCCTCTGTAACTTAGATTGGGAGCACCCCAGTCGGGTGAGGAGAGATGGGGCTTTGGGGACAGCCCTCTGCCACACAAGTGGCGGCTTAGCTGATTTTCAGCTAAACCTAATACTAAACCTAAACGTATTAAGTTTAATGTGAGCTACAAAGGTTTGGTCTGTCTCGGGCTGGAGACCAAGCCTTGTTTCTTGCCCATTGTCTCTTGTATCTCTTCTCTTAGTCCTAGAAGGACTTGGCCAGAGAATGTGAGTAGTGCTTAGAAAACTCGTCACCTCTTTGGGAAGATCCAGTCTGGGCCCCGAGGTGTCCCATCCGCAGTGCGTGGTCCATGGGGACTCTCTGGTGACCCCCCAATGGTGGAGTAGGGCCAGGTTTTACCACATAGTATTTATTTTAAAACTTGCTTTTCTGAAACTTAAGATTCCCGTATTAACAATCATATTCCTTGGGAACACATCCATTGTAGTTGAATCATGTAATTTGCCATAAATGCTAACTATATACCTAAGTGCTCTAGAACTAAAGAGTTTTTCATACTTCTTTGATTGTAGATCCTTTTACACTGACCCAGCACACACCTGTAAAAGTGGAACAAGTCTTTCCTGGAACAATACTTAGCCTTACTGTATACAAAACACTCTATTTTCTTATTATTAATTGTAATGCTGTTTATGATGCACTAAATTGATTTCATGGCTCAGTAATGGGTTGTGGCCTCCATTGGGAAGGCCAGCTACAGGGCATGCTGAGAAGCTGCCCACGTCTGCCAGCTGAGGGCACAGGCTCTGGGGTTGCTGACCGGGCCAGTCCTGGCTCTCACGTTGGCTACTTGGCTTCCCTTTTCTCATGCATTAAGCGGGGACAGCAGCACCACCTCAGAAGTTTGCTGTGGGGTTGAGTGGCTTATTGTTATAAAGGGCTTAGCATGTGCTAAGCACACGGTAAGCGCTCCATAAACAGTGGAGAGAATCAGGAGTCGGGTGCGTGTGCCTGCTTCTCTTGGTGGAAGTCACCCACCTGGGGAGGACACGTGTCTGGAGGGGTCACTCAGAATGGGCAGGGGTGGTTAGTGGAAGCTTTCCTGAGAGCTGGGTGATACTCTTGGCCTGGAAGGACTGGGATGGATCAGTGGGCAAGATGTTCCTAAAAGTGGAACTACCACGACTAAGGAGTAAGAGGCAATCAAAGTGTATACAGTGGTGGGCAGGGGGCTGGAAGAGGTGAGCCGAGGCACTGCTTTTCCAGGCTTAGACGTTGGAGCTTTCTGAGCAGGGCAGTGATTTGATGAAAGAAGTGATTTGGGAAGCTCGGTTAAGTATCAGTGTATCGGGTACAGGGCCAGGCTATGGGAGGCCAGGGCAGGGGACCAGGCAGCTGTGAGGGGGAGGGAGGTGCCGGGCTGGGAGCCAAGTGGGAAGGCAGTGTGCATGGAATGGTTGTTCACACATGGAGGTGGGAGGAGGAGGAGCCGTCACCCCAAACTGAGGGTTGAAATCCAAGAGGTTGATCTTTTCTTTTAATTTTTAGATATCTGTCAGGTAAGAGGAACAGCAGAGGGCATGAAAGAAAGCTACAGTGACAAGTGTTGAGTTCTCATGTGAAAGTGATGGTGTGATTTCAGTTAATGGCGCCCTGGTCCTGACTCTCAAAGACCCTAACAGTGTTTCGAGAGTCCCTTGGGCCGTTGGCAGGAAGTCCTCTGTGGGTTTGAGAGAAGCAGATGCTGTGGTTCACGGTGTCAGATCACCCTGACCCTGATCAACTCGTGTTCCTTCTCTCAGGTGATGCTGTGCAATCCCATCTGCGGCGTCGGCTACGCTCTAACAGTGTGGCGATTCTTCCGCGATCGGACAGAAGAAGAGGAAATCTCACTGATTCACTTCTTTGGAGAGGAGTACCTGGAGTATAAGAAGCGGGTGCCCACAGGCCTGCCTTTTATAAAGGGGGTCAAAGTGGAGCTATGACACGGCAGGGGCCGAGGGGCCTCCCACTCTGTGCAGCCCAGGACAGAACTGCCTCCGGTCGGCCACTCTGCAGAATGGATTTTCTTAATCATTTTATATGTCACCAGTTTCTCTTCTGGAATATCACTCAAGACCGAATGGTCAGAAGGCCTTAGGACCAAAGGACCCCCCCGGAGCAATCTGTTCTTGGGCTGAGTCGAGGTAGGATGTAGATTAAGGATGGACAAGAGCAAATAACAGCAATACCCAACAGTGCCCCTCCAGAGTGCCCTGGTGAGAGCCCAGGCCACGCTCGACCCCCACGAGGCCACAGTGCATGTGGGTTGTGACCAAGACCCCTCGGGATAGGGGGCTCACTCAGCACGATGAGTAAGGCTTCGGCGGCAGGACAAGGGGTGTGGGCGTCAGTGCTTATTAGCATTAGGAATACATGCAAAATCTTAACCGGAAAACATGACAGCACAGCTTTAACCTCCTTATTTCTGTCCTTGAGTGCATGAGCATCTATAGAATTTTAAAGACACTTCCTTATAAAGCACTTTGGCTCCTCCTATATTTAATCGTATTTACATATCTATTTTTTATAAATAACAGTATGAATTCAAAGGGGACTCGTGGTGTTAATAGTCCCAATTTTTATTTGGCAGAAAGGAAGCATGGATACCTCCAGATGATTTGGCCAAGTGGCTTTGTGTCACCAGGGCACCCCAGGTCAGGGAGACCGTGGGCCTCTGTGGCTTTCCGGGGTCTCCCAAGAGGGTGCTGTTGTCAGTGACAGGCATGTCAAAGATGTGTCATTTTTCCTTTATCTAAGAAATGCTTACTGAACGCCTGTTCTGTGCAAGGCATTGTTTAAACATTGAGAAATACTGCTCTCCGTTTATTTGGGATTTTATTGTTATTTTACCATAGCTTATATATTTTTGTGTCCGATTTAAATCTATTAACTATTGATTTCTATGTTCTCAAAATTCCATCGTCCTAATGCCATTTCAAACTGTCTTTTCCAAAAGGGTTTGAGAGTATATACAACTACAAAATTCAAGCAAGTTGACTTATGAAAGTCTTAAATAGAGCAAATAATCTCAACTGAGATTTAGTCAGTATTTCTGTTTTTCAAGTTTGGAGAAAGTGATTGGCTTTATGAGTCAAACATAGAAGCTTTAAGGCCCTGGTTTAATTCTGGACTAGATAAGAACTTGTTCTCAGTGGGAAATCCTTCCGTGCAGTTCTGTAGTGGCACTAACGAAGTCGGCGGCAGCCCCCGCTGGAGTGCTGCTCTGCTGCCACGCCATGCCTTGCCACGCGGCTTTCGAGGAGCCACTGAACCTTTCTGTGCCTAGACCTCCCCATCCGTAAAATGGGGTCAATACCACCTACCTCACAGGGTGTTGTGAAGACTTAGAAGAACAATGTCAGACATTTTTAATACTTAGAGAGACGACATCAATGAAATCTATACTGTATAAGAGCTACACAAAAATGGACACTTGGTTCACTGTACCAGATACCAGAAATGTGTGTTCAAAAGAGCATTTTACCAACTCAAAATATTACTTATTTCTAGATTTCATGGCCTAATTAATTTTTTTGTTATTATATATACCAAAGAGTTCACAGGTTCTTGGATTACTGGTATGACACTTGCTGGTGTGAGAACTAGACAGACTCCACTCTTGGCCCTCACAAGGGTCTCGAAGTCAGACTCTGGCCAAGGCAGCTGTTGGAGCCCCTGACAGCAGGTTCCCCTGGTGGGGACGCTCCCAGGCGAGACGTCAGCATGCACTTGCTCTGTTTGGGAACTTGAGTTGAATCAGTTCTAAACTTGTTCTCCAGACCACACTCCACACTTAGCGAAGTAAACTCTACTTGGTAGGATTGCAAGTGGAGGAGGGTGTAGCTGGGGTCTTGGCAGCTGTCCCCAGCTCTTTGAGGGAAAGTTCTTTCTTGCTTCATCTAGCAGGATTGGACCCAACTTTCATTCCCACTGGGGGCCATGAAGTTGTCTTTTTAACAGATGGAGAGCAGCTAATGATGGCCCCTGGCTTGGTGGACGGTAAGACTGAAGGTGTTGGCATTTGATCTGTTCTTCCTCCACCTGCCGGGTTCAGAAAGCCCACCTTCCTGCCAGGCCCGAGCTCAGAGGGTAGGCCTTAGTGTTTGCAGCGAGATGCTGCTTGACATTATATTCTGCTCTGCTTTAAAGAGCAGTTCCGTGGGCGGGGGTAGTGAAAGAACATTCCCACCCTAATTTATAATCCCAGGGCAGAAGTCAGCAATTACTTAGAGATAAAAGATGAACTACTTAGGGGCAGGATTTGGCAAGTGATTGACTTTCATCTAGTACTGAGATCTTCAGGTTATTTTTAACTTTATAAATTTAGCAGTGACAGCGTACACGGCAGAGAAGCAGGTTAATGAGGTACAGGCTTTTTGGGTATTCCCGAAAGCTTTTGGGTAAAGGCCACATCACCAGTTCCCTCAAATTAAGAAACCGTCAGGAGATTTCTTTTTCCATTGCAGGTTTTAAAGTGGCGATTCTTAAGTGGAAAATAAGCACTGCGCAGAACAAAGCTACTTTGAAGCAGTATAAAATGAAACATTTTATGAGAATTTGCAGGCTGTGGCTGAGAATGGCAGTTTACAAAAAAGGTAGTGAGTGGGGTGAGCCTGACAGAAAGCAAAAGGCAGCATACCCCACCTTCCCTCCACTGGTATAAACTGCTTCTTGAAGGTAAATTGTAACCTTTATTAATCCTTCCCGTTTATTTAACGCTCTGGGCGATCAGCATGCTCGGGGAAGTATCCCAACACATTGTGTTCATAGATTAGGCTCAGGGGGGTCTCGGCCCCAGCTCGTTTTGGTAGCAGCCCCTCCGTGATGGGTACAGTAAACCACTGTCCCTCTTTGCACTTTCTTACTGCCTCACATAGCGGTGATCTCCCACCGTGTTTTGCTTCTGTAGTGAGCTGGCGAGGTTAGGCAGCCTCGACCTCTCCAGTGTGGTGGGAGAGGCTTGTTCTCCGTGCCCCGCTGTGCAAGCTTGTGCCCACTGCAAGCTTGATGCCTTGTCCAGGGCTCGGAAGGCGGGCCATCAGGAGTGGTCCCTAGCGCTTGCTCCCAAGGAAGCTGTCCCATAGCTAGGAGAGTAACTTAATGGAGTAATTTTACTCTTCTTTTTACATGTAGAAATGTTGATTTAAATATTTTAAATTGGATTTTTTTTCATGAATACTGATTATCCTTTCCAATTCTTAAATAAAACTGTACTTGATTTCACTATGAACAATAGTGTGATTGTGTGGGGTGTAGAAACTCTAAGGTCATGTCACTTCTGGCTAAGAAGTGTCCAGAACCTACAGCATAAGACCAGAGGTATTTGCCTACTCAATTCAGTTCTGAATTCCTGCCTCTAACCAGTCTGTAATGACAAGTTCCTCCTGCCCTTCAGGCTCCCATGAAGTGTGTGATGCTGGAATGGGCACATCAATGCTCAGAAACAGCAGGTGCAGAGGCATTGGCTGTTGGGGTGACTGGTGCATGAGTGTATTGACGTGCAGGCCTACCTGGCACATACAAGTCATTTGCTGTTTGAACCACCAAATCAAGCTGATATTTGCTGAAAATGTGACTATCTGGACATCATTTTGCCTCCCAAACTTTATTTTTTTAATTTTTTTTGCTGAGGAAGATTAGCCCTGAGCTAACATCTGTGCCCATCTTCCTGTATTTTGTATATATGGGGTGCCACCACAGCATGGCTTGACGAGCGGTGTGTAGGTCCGCACCCAGGATTCGAACCTGTGAACCCGGGGCCGCTGGAATAGAGCACATGAACTTAACCACTACGCGACCGGGCCGTTCCCTGCCTCCCAAACTTTAAATCTTAGGTCATTCAGGTAGATGTTCCTTCTTAAGCATTTATTAAGTCCCACTTGATAAACAGGGTACTGTGTAGGAATGGAAACTAGAGAAAAGTTGCTGCTGAGTTGTGCTTTACTCAATAGAAGGTGAACGTGGGAGAGGACAGCAGTCTGGGAAAGCAGTGGAGAGGCTGTCATGGTGACCGTCTCCTGCCATGCACATGCCAGCTGCTGCGCCTCTGCTTTACGTGCTCAGCCCTTGCTGTAAAGAGAGAAAAGCTGGAGCGAAGGTTTTTCCCTTTTGCTGAGTGAGTACTCAGATTACTGGGTGGAACTTTCCAGCAGCGCCCGACTAACAGTGGGGCTGTGATTTGGGGAAACTGGGTTCCCGTGAGGCAGGGCAGGTGCTGCACGTGGTAGGGTCTTGTTACCTAGGATTCAGACCGGCACACCCTGCAAGGAGCACGCCCACCCGGCACGGAACACTAGGGAGACGCTGGACGGGCGAGGGGCTTGAGGCTGGATGTTCGCTCATTTAACACTTTCCACGTGGACAGGGATGGCGTCCCAAGTCACTGTGATGAGGACCAAGACTTCATGCCATGTCAACATAGGGAACGCGAAGCTTAGCCCAAGCCAAAGAATCCGACATTGGATGTGTCAGAGAGGTTCTGGGTTTTACTGCTGATAAATGACTACCCTTTAAAGACATAGTCATGATGAGAACAACCTTCTCTTAAATATCCTGGTCTCGATGTGCATGCTGTAAAACACCTAACCCCCTGGGACCAGTCCCACTTGCTAAGTGGGGCGCTCTCTCCGTGTGGGGACGTCGCCCCCATTTCTCGGTTTCGGTCTATGAGGATCTTTATTTTTCAGTGGAGGCTCTTCTGTGAGGCTGTTCGGAGTCCGGCTGTTTCCTCTAGGCTCTGAGGTCTTCTCTCTCTTGTCCATGACACTTACGGGATCATTCCTAAAGGAACACTTGAACATGAGCTCTTCTGTTTCACTCCCCCATTTCACTGTACCCCAGCACTAAAATCCAAATTTCCAAATTTGGAAACCCTTTCTGGAAGGCGCCAGTGGTGACCACATCTTCAGACCCAGAACTGTATCCTCTTCTGAAGGATTCTTACCTCGTTTCTGATGACTTTTAGTTGCCAAAACATCAGCAGTTCACGCTATTTCGGCAGCTTGTGGTGACAACAAGCTTTGAATTGACACTTCCCTGAGCATCCGAGCTAAGCTAAGCGGGGTGCCAGGGAGGGTGGGACTAATTTCTGCTCCGTCACCAACTACTTGTGACTCTGGACAGCAGCAGGCCTCCCCACGCCCTCTAGGCTCTCCCAGCTCTGACTTCCTACCACTCCATTCTCCGCCCAGTGACTAACACATTTTGCTGCGAGCAAAATACTCCAGGATCAGCCTGTGACAGTGACGTATCTGTTAATGCACATTCTTTTCTTCCTCCGGCAAGTATTTTGGCAAACACTGTGGCTCTGATAAATAGTAATGCTCTCACCAAGAAATACCCCTCAGTCCCCGTTGCCCACAGAAGTGTACTGGGTCACTTGGTGGAAGTGCCTGTGAGACCGTGTGCAGCGCCTGCAGCTCTCGGGGGTGTAAGCGGTGCAGGCAGCAGCCATGGCATCTGCAGTCACAGAATGTGGGTCCTGTCTATCAGAGTCACATCTGGCATCTGTGAAGTCACCGTCCAGATTAAGAGCCTCTCCGACCTGGTATTTTACAAACTGAGGCCCAGCTGAGGCCGCAGAGCTGCTCAGCAGCACGGCAGGACCAGAGGGAAAGGAACATGCGGGCTCTGGCTTTGTCATTGTACCCCTCTCTGAGACTAAGTTGTTTGCCCGCTGGGGTTGGAAGGACTTGACTCACCTGGCCTGGGTCTCGCCACTCACGCTGCTGTCATACATGTTTTGGGGATGCTCTGACCGTTCATCCCCGGGCGCCAGAAACCTATGCCGGAGAAAGCAGTTACCAGGAGTCTTGAAGGAGCAGAGCCAGCCCACTGCATGTCTTTCAGCTCACTGTTTGCACAGAAACCAAACTGAGGCACACACTCAAGGGCCCGCCCAGGGCTTTGGTCCTCCCATATTTGCTGAGGGCCGGCGACTCGCCAGGGCCGGGGCTGCAGTAGTGGACAAGAGAGGCCAGGGCCAGCTACGTTCTGGTTGAGGAGACATGCCAAGGCTGGGAAGGAGGCACAGCAGGGCCAGGCAGTGGGGAATGCCAGTGAACAGAGCTTTAATAGGGTGGTTGACATTCAAGATGAGACCTGAATAATGAAGATCCACTGGACAATCTGAAGCAAGAACATTCCAGGCAGAGGCCCAGAAGCTTGGGTGCCAGTCCAGCTTCTTTGAGAACTGAAAGGCCATCGTGACTGGGGTGTGGTCATGGTCAGAGGTGGGCAGGGAAGGTCCCGAAAGGGCTCTCCAGCCCCGGTGTGACGGGAAGTAGAGACTTTAAAAAGACTGCTGGCTGTGTGACATGCTGGAGAGGCTGGGGGGGGTGGGAGAGGTAACAATGATGGCTTGAATTGGGGGCAGCAGTGGAGACAAAGTGGGTGGACTGAGGCAGAGTCAAGTCAACAAAACTGGGGATGGGTTGGAAATGGGCTGAGGGAAAGAAAGGAATCCAGGATCTCCCCTGGGGATTTTACTTGAGCACCCCTGTGACTGGGATGCCATTTACTGAGGTGAAGCGGGAGTAGCATGTTCGGGGGAGGACACTGAGTTCTGCTGGCCATTGTGGGATTTGAAGTGCCTGTGAGACATCCAAGCAGAGACCCCCAGGAGGGGGCAGTGGTGATGTGTCTGGAGCTCGGGACAGTCTGTGCTAGGGAGAGGGATTAGGGGTCGTCTGCGTCATGATGGGGTTTTAAAGCAGGGGACAGGATGAAGCCCCTTAAGGAGAGGGGTTAGGACGAGAAGAAGGCCTAGGACTGAGCCCTGGGGAAAAGTGACTCTTGGGCATTGAGCCGAGGAGCAGAGCTGGCCAGAGGCACTAGGAAGGAATGGCTGGAGAGGCAGGAGGGGAACCAGAGGGCAGGGTGTCTCAGCAGCAAGAGATGAGCATGGTGAGATGGCGGATAGTCCACGCTCACGAGTGCTGGTGAGAGGCCAAGGGATGAGGCTGAAACGTTGCTGATGATGGGAACCAGAGCAGATTGGGGGGATGGGTGGGCTCAGGTGGGTGGGTGGGGTTGGAGTGGGTTGCCAGCAGTAGGAGGGGAGGAAGCAGAGGTGGCAACTCCAGACACCTGGAAAGAGGGGCCTCCTCACCCCAAATCTCCAGGAGCTGGGCTCTAGCCTGAGCTCCTTTCCGTTTGCTGAAACTGACTGCAGAGGGGATTTGCCCGCAGAGCCATGGCTCTGCCAGCATGTTGCCCCTTGCAGACACGCAGGAGCACATGACTTGAAGCCAGCTTCTCACGGAAGCAGAGCACGCAGAGGGAAAGCGTGCAAATGATAAGAGCACAGCTTAGCATGTGCACTGACGAGCTGGGCAAGCGGCACCCAGAACGTCACCTCCACCCAGAGGCCCCCCAGGATAGTCACCATCCCGACTGCTAACACCAGAGGACAGTTCTGCCTGATTTTGAGGTTTTATGAATGGAATCACACAGTATTTGCAGTAAACTACTTTGAATGTCAGCCAAGGAGGAAACACTGCAGCTAGTCGTGGGTAGACGGGGCTTTGATCAAAACTGTGCAAAGGTATGCTAGGTTTAACCTCTCAGTGTGACATGTTAAAATAGTCACTTAAAAGGGGGCTTGGCTGTTCTGGACATATGGTGACTGCACACACACACACTCTAATTTTCCTTCTTCTCAAAACTCACTAAAACTAGTAAAGAGACCAAAACAACAAGGGGAAAACACCTCTCCAGATTGAGAACAGGAAAAGATAACACCAAAATTTTTGGAGCTGGAGAGCATGCAGATGAGTGGTAACTAATGTGGCAGATCTGAGAAATCTGAGTTCCAAGCAGACAGCGGGACAAGCTGAGGCCCAACCCAGTTCACACCACAGAATCCTCAGGTGCCCAGGAACTGGCGCCTTGCCTCTGCCACAGGGAGGGTGGGACTGAAATACGACAGTGACAGTCAAGATCCCTACTGCCCTCCCCACCCCACAGAAGTCTGAAGAGAGTCTCTGAGAGGGTCCAACCCACAGGTGAGAACTCCTGAAAACCACAAAATCAGGTGTGCATGCAAATGCTCCACACAGTGACCTTCCAGGAAGGAAACAGAGAAGACCCATAACTGACACTGGGGCATTCCAAAAAACAGCAAACAAAACCCCTGCCCCCCAGGTCCCCTACAGTGAAGCACCACCCAGGTGCTCAGAGCTTCCAGTTGGCTCCCCTCCCCCTAAATCCTAATATGAGCAGATACTCAAAGATTTCCCGACATCTGAGAAGAGCTTTAACATGGAAGATAGAAACCTAAGCAAACAAAAAGTAACTTGGAGGAAACAGCCTTCAGGGAGAAGGAAACTTAAAAAACAGAAACAAGAAAACACCTGTCAGCCTCAGAGGGGGAGATACTGTGTCCATGAAACAAGAGAATGCTGTATAAAAAGAACAGGGTACAAAAAAGAGCTCCTGGAAAATCAAAATAATTAAAATTTTATGGGCCGGCCCCGTGGCTTAGCAGTTAAGTGCACACGCTCTGCTACTGGTGGCCTGGGTTCGGATCCCGGGCACGCCCTGACGCACCGCTTCTCCGGCCATGCTGAGGCCGCGTCCCACATACAGCAACTGGAAGGATGTGCAGCTATGACATACAACTATCTACTGGGGCTTTGGGGGAAAAAAAAGGAGGAGGATTAGCAATAGATGTTAGCTCAGAGCCAGTCTTCCTCAGCAAAAATGAGGAGGATTAGCATGGATGTTAGCTCAGGGCTGATCTTCCTCACAAAATAAATAAATAAATAATAAAATTTTAAAAGGTCCTGGAAATTAAAAACAAAAATTTTAAAAAGAGCTTTTGGAAATTTTCTTCAAAAATAAAGAACTCAATAGAAGGGTTGGAAGATAAGTGAGGAAATCTCCCAAATATAGCAAAAATACAAAGAAATGGAAAACAGGACAGAAAAAAGGGAAGGTAACCAGAGGGCCAGCCCAGGAGAACCAAAATCCAATAATAAGAATTCCAGAAAAAGATCAACTAACTAGTTCAAAAAGAAATAGGCTCAAATCGAAGGACGTGAATTTCCAGATTGAAAGGACTCATCAGTACCCAACCTAATGGGTGGAAATAGACCATCACCAATGTGAAATTTCAGAACACTGGGAGCAGAGAAGATTCCACAAGCTTCTAAAGAGAATAAGTAGGTCACATTACAAGGAATCGGAATGCCTTCAGACTTTTCAAAGACGACCTTGGAAGCTAGAAGACAATAGAGCAATGCCTTCAAAGGAAAATCATTTCCAATCTAGAATTCGATACCCAGCAATGCTATCAGTCAAGTGTGAAGGCAGAATAAAGACATTTCAGGCTTGTGCCAGCCTGAATGTACCTCCTACGCACCCTTTCTCAAGGAGCTACTGGGAGATGGACTCCACCAAACCATGAAAGAGGGAACGTGGGATATAGGAAAGAAGAGATCCCAGACAGGAGCCCAGCAAATGGAGCCCCCAGGAGGGTGGTGGAAGGAGAGCCCAGGCTGGCCACTGTGCACCAGACCTACAGAGCAACCAGCCCACCCTGGGGACCAGTGACTTGAGAGACAGGGACATTGAGGACCTGCCACCAAAATCCCTCTGCCTCTGTAACACCCTTGATGCCCAAGTATGGTGCTTAGAGCCTGCTCCAGGTTCTTGTCTAGACTTGGCTTAGCCATATGCTGAGGGAGTTCTGCTCTCTCCTCCATGTCCTGCTGCCTGGATCAGCTAAGGACCCTCATTACATCCCCAAGAAGTACCTTCTGCTTTGACCTACTCCTGGGGGTTAGAGGTGGGTGATTGTGTGCCCAGAAGCAGAAACTCAGAGCAGCCCACTCGCACTATGTTTTTGCAGATGTCCACCCCCTGGTCCACCCAGATGCCTGATTAAAGCTCTTATGACCTGGCCTGCTGACTTCCCTGAAAGGGGCTCTTCCAAATGTGTGGCACCTTTCCCACACACATTCTGAAGTGCCTTGGCTCCCCTGGGAACACCCCTAATCTCACCTGGGCTCCAGCCGCTCCTTCACCTTGGCAATGGAATGCACATAGGGCGTGATCTGCTTGGTGATGGTGGTCAGGTAGGCATTCTCCTGCTTCAGCTGGAGAAGGTCATGGAGCTGGGCTGTGGGGGTCAAGGCTAGAGTGTTGGGTCTTGTTGGCTTCAGATTCTTACTCTCAAACCTCACACCTAAATATCCCAACTATTTCAGTGATTACCTCTTTCATTAAAGAACAAGGTAAGACTTGTGAGGGCATTCTACTTACTGAATCCTGACCTCAGATGCATCGTTTTGGGGCCAGTTAGCATCTGTGAGGCAAGGTCAAGAGCTAAGGGGAGGAGCATGGGGGTTGGTATCTGGTTAGTGGGTAACTGATTCCTGCCCCTGCTACACGTGCGTTAGCTCTGGGACAGGGGTGCACCCAGCAGCAGCTGCCTGGGACCTTCATAAATCTCCTGCTCGTTAGCCACCCGCTGGCAGGATTCCTCCCAAATCTGAAAGAGAAAGTAAGTTGGATGTCACATGTGGTGAGTTGGAACTTCCATCCGTGGCATTTCCGTTCTCTATCTACTCAGAGCCATACAGCACACCCAGCCAGTTCACGTGGTTCCAGGCGGCAAAGACCCAGGTTCTAGAGCCTGCCGCACGAGGGCCTCATGGGGCATGAGGCCAAGGTTCTCCTTCTCCCGCTCCCTGTCTTGGGGTGGCCCATGCATATGCTGACAGGTGGGGATGCAGGGGAGTTAGGCGTCTCGGGAGGGGCTACCTCCTGAAAGACTGCTCTCATCCCCTCCACGGAAGCGTACTCCGAGGCGATCTGCGCATCCACCTGCAGGGCCTTGTGCAGGATGTCTCCCATGATCTCGGCCTTGATGAGCGAGTGGTGCTTGGTGAGGTCCCGGTGCAACTCCTGTACCTGGTCCTTCAGGTTCTGCATCTCCACCTGCAGGCGCTGCGCAGAGAGACCGTGTGAGTGCCTGTGGTTCCTGCAGGCTGTGTCCACTGTCGGGGACTCGGTGGAGGGATGGCTTTCAGGCCGGGTGGCCAGGACTAGATTAGACCATCGCTGCACCTTGGTGAGGATGGGTTGGGGCCTTTCCCAGACCGCAGGTCCCTGGCCCCCTCACCCGGTAGGAGTCCTCATAGTGGCGGCAGTGTTCCGTGAAGGGTGTATCCTCGCCCTCGGCCAGCAGCACCTTGGTGCTGATGGACCGGTGCAGTGTGGGCTTTTGGACCGGTGACTTCAACATCTGTCCCACCGGGGAAGGGCAGCTGGGACCCATCAGCACCTTGGGGCCCGAGCCCCCTGCTAGCCTGGGGAGAGAGCCAGTGTGGATGCAGATGTGGGGGGCTGGGAGGGTCTGCCCCCCACCCCTAGAGCCTCCCAGGGCTCTTTAGCCCTCAACCTGGACACACATTAGAACCCCGTGGGAGCCCTGCAAAAGCCAGGTGCAAGGCCGATGCAAGGCTGAGGCAAGGCCACACCCAAGCTCAGTGACATCAGCATGGTATTTTAAAAAATCCCCAGGGTGATGTCAGTGTTCAGACGAGTCCATCAGGATGTCATCAGGGGCTAGTCTCGAGTAAACGGTATGTTCACTGACAGACGCTGGACCTTGCAAGTTGGGCCTGATGCCAAGTCTTCCTTGACTGGGGGACTGGGGCCTTCTGCACACATATCCAGCTTAGGCATTTCTTCCCATTCCTCCGGGGTCTCTGGCTCCCCACACTAGGGCCTGGAAGTCAGGCACCACCCCAAGCTGCCCCTTCGCTTCCGTCCTCAGGCGCCCCAGCCGGGTAGCCAAGGCTGCAGTGGCGGTTGGGGGCAGCCCCCGCGTCCTCTCGGTCTTCCCGCGGCAGGCTCTGCTCCAGGTCTGCCACGGGCTTCTCATCTGAGGCGGCCCCGACGGCTGTTTCCCGGCTGGGCGGACTCGCCCTCCCGCGTGGCCCTTGTCAGTGCCCAGACACTGCGCTGGGAGCTCGGTGAGCCTGGGAGAGCGGCGCTCGGCCTTTCCCGGTCACTCGGCGGCCCCCCACCCTGATGGGGACCTTGTGCCATCCCCATCCCCCCGTCCTGGCGGCGGGGAGGGCGCCCCCGCTGCTCACGTGTTGGTGCCGCCCCCGGCACCCGCTGCCCGGCGCGGCCCCAGCAGCAGCAGCGGCTCCAGGCAGCGCGCGAACTCGGCGCGGTGGTCGCTGGTGATCTGGGGGGCGGGACGCGGTCGTGAGGCGGCCTCCAGGCCCCGCGGACCCCGCCCCCGGCCCACTGGCGCGGCCCTCGCACCTTGCTGCTTTGCGCCGGCCGGAGGCGATGCGGCCGCGTGACGACGCCCTGCAGCCTCTCCATCAGCTCCTGCGGCGCGGGGGAGGGCGCTCAGGCGGCGGAAGGTGGTGGTGACAGTGAGGGGGGAGGCCCGAGGGCAAGCCTGTCTTTGGCACTTTACCTGATGTCCGTTGGGGGCTCCAACCCTTCCCTGAGAGTGGTCCGGAACCCCACACCACCCCCGCCCCCAAATCCACAGGCAAGCTTGGGGTGGCCGGACTCCAGTAGACACTCTGCACGTTGGGGGTGTGGAGGCATATGTTCCCTTCCAGGCTTGCTGTCTTTTTAAAAGGGACTCAGCTTGCCCCTTAAGGGTTTGTGGATGATGGCATGGAGGAGGGGAAAGTAAGCCCAGGGACCCCTGGACCAGCCTCCAGGTGACAGACTGCCAAGCCCTGAGATGGCGGTCTCTGCTGTGCAGGGTGGGCTCCTGGTGGGGAGGGGAGACCCCGCAGGAGCTGGGGGGACTCACGTAGCCCAGGTCCAGGAACTCGGCCTTGTTGGCCAAGCTGAGGAAGGAGGAGCAAATGACCAGGTGAACCTGTGGGAGGGACACTGCTCAGTGCCTGGCCTGGGGAGGGGCCCTGGGGCCAGGTGCCCAGCTCTGCATCCCCAGCTCCCCTTACCTGGAGGGTGGGCAGCAGAGTGGCCAAGTGGGAGAGCTGCTCCTTGAAGGCCTTGTCCTTCTCTGCGTACTGGCTGGGGGAGGGGCAGCCAGCCTCATTTCCAAGGGGAGGGCTGCCCACCCCCACCCAGGGGGGGCCTCAGAACTGGGTGGTTCCATCTCCCCACCAGCTTTGTGTATCCTTCTCTGTCATCCTTCTGTGAGCCCTGAGCCACTCTGCCCTCCTCACCAGGTGGACACCTGGATGTCTTGCTCCCCAGCATGGGGCAGGGCCTGCCCAAGCCCAGGCTATGAGCTAGGTATATGGAGGCCAAGGAGCAGCGGGTGGAGACCCCGCCACCACTCACCTCTGCACAGCCTGCAGCAGCAGCGCTTTCCTCTCTGCCAATTTGTCCTGGGAGAGACAGTCTGCTACTGCCTGAGCATCCCAGCCCTGCCACCTCCCAGCACTCTCCCACTCCCCTGGGCCCCAGCCACACAGCTGCTTAGGCTGGCTCTCTCTCCAGCCTACCTGCCCTGCTACGAGAGCCAGAGGGCTTCCTTGCTGCATCCTGCTGCTTGAGAGCCCTATGCCCTCACCTTAAATGTCACCTCCTGGGGGAAGTCTTCCCTGACCGCCCCACCCCCAGCACCAGCCTAGGGCAGGCCCTGGCTCCCCCTCTGGAACTCTCCCCAAAACTGATGAAGTAACTCCTGAAGTAGCTCAATGCTTTGGTTCAATGCTTGCCACCCTGCTACACTGAAACTCCACGAGGGCTCCCTGGGCCTGCGCTTTGTCATGGGCACGGCTCATGGCTGATGAGGATGCTCAGCCTATGGCTGTCTGGTTCCCCCTACCCCTCACCTGCATGCTGCCGAAGAGGGCGTGGATGGCAGCCTCCTCTTCCGCTGCGCTGCGTCGCACCTCCTCCACCATGGCCTGCAGCAGCGTGATGGCTTCCCGTGTGGCCGTCTGCAGGGCCTTCACGGCCTGGGGAGCGGGCTGCCTCAGGCTTGTGAACGCGCTGGTCCCCGACCCCGGACCCAGTGCACCGGACACTCCACACTCACCAGCACCGCCTGCTCCAGCCGCTCGCAGCCCTGCACGTAGGCCGACTCGAGGTCCACGCAGTGGGCCCGGCTCTCCCTGCCAGGAGCCTGCGAGTGAGCCTCGCTCCCGGGCGCCCCCTGGCCCGCTCACCTCCCACTCCCTCTACCCACCCCTGCATGTCCCGGAAGCAGCAGATGCACAGCAGCGACTTCTTGTCGGTGGAGAACATGATGTAGGGCTCCGCGTGCAGCGCTGGGGCGAAGGCGGCGGTGAGGGCTCGGGGCAGTGCCTGCCGGCGGCCCCGGCTCCCACCCCGCACACCGCACTCACTGCACTTCTGGAGCACGTCGCGGCTGCGCTGGCCCAGGGCCACGATGTCGTGGCGCGCAAACATGCGTGCCCGGTGCGTCTCGTCACGGCAGCGCGCGCACAGCGGCTGCCCGCACGTGTTGCAGAAGTACGTGGTCTCCGCGTCCTGCAGACGGAGCTCCGGGTCAGCCCGCCAGTGGGTTGGGGCGTCTGAGCCCGACCACCGCCCGCACGGGAACTGCAGCCTCCGCGTGTCATTGTGCGCCTCAGTCCTAGCCTGGGGTAGGTGCGCGGCCAAATGCAGCCCTTTCATGTAATCCTGACGCAGTGCTGTAATATACCCAGTTTACAAATGGGGACACCAAGGCTCAGAGAGTAGTAGGTAAGTAGGTCCAGTAAGGGACAAGAACCCGAATGGGCTTGGGGAGGCCATTACACGGGGTAGGAGGGAGGGCAGAAGCTGCATTTGCAAAACATTTTACCTACAACAAAAATGTGTGTGTGTAAAGATTTCTCCCCGCCCCCCAGGCACCCTCAATAGTAACCAAATGGCAGTGTCCACCTTGGCCATCTGGAGTCAAAACTTGGCTGGGAGGGGAGAGAGAATGAGGGCCTGCAGGTTCCCTTCCCCAGGCCGGACCCAGGGCCGAGAGTCCAGGGCTCAGGCTGCAGCAGTGGCACTGACCCCAGCAACGGCTGTGAAAGCACAGACCCCAGCTCCGTACTTCAGCATTCAAGGCCATTTCCTCTCTGCTCTCCCTGCCTCCTGCTGGTCTTCTCTGTACTCTGGGTCACACCTGCCAGCACTTGCCCAGCACACCCTGAGCTTTTGCTCCTCCAGGGCTGTCCTTCTGGGACTTGGATTACCCCGTCCAGCCTCCATAGGCCAGAGTCCCGTGTGCCCTTCACAGCTCAGCCTGAAGCCCAGACTCTGCTTCTTGGCTTTCCCAGACTCGGGGAGAGACAACAGCATGCTGTCCTCCCTTCCCCTTTGGGCTGTAGGTAGCTGTGAGCAGAGGGCCCTCAAGGACCGGCCCAGGCATGTGCACTGGAATGCCCTTCCTATGCTAGTTCACAACTCCACCCTGAGCTGGGACCAGTAAGCGCACCCCAAATTTAATGGCTTTAAACTCTGCCATCATCTGGCTATTGGCTCAAGTCACTTGTTCTGGACCTCAGTCTCCCACCTGTAAAATGGGGCCCACATTTGGGATCCAGGATGCCTTAGAGAGGTGCTGGAGAATCCACTGATGGATAATCCCCTGAGGACATGTTGGGCACACACTGCCAGCATCAGGACCATGCAGCCTTGCACCCTCGCCGCCTCCCACACCCCCCTCCGCCAGGCGCCCCTGCCTGCTTGCTGCACTCCAGGTCGCAGTTGGCACAGCACACCACCTCCATGCCATCCCCTGAGCCGTCCACCAGGAACTGCAGCAGCCGATCCACAGGGGGGAGCCCGCTGGGGCCCTTCAGCACCGTCTGGTGTCTGCGGAGAAGCTGCAGCCAAGATCCAGATGCCCCTTCCTCATGGCTCCCTACCTCCATTCCCACCCCCCACATTCCAGGCTGGGACTAAAAATAGGGTGGGAGGTGGGGTGCCTGCAAGTCTGGCATCTGCTATAAATATTTCAGCCAGTGCTCATTCTGACCCTGTCCCTCTCCCTGCCCAGTCCCAGGTGAATCCTGGGAGGCCATGGTTGGTGACCCCTGGTGTCAAAGGCAGAAGCCTCCCCTCAACCCCTTCTCACTGCATTGGGCAAACTTAGAGCCACTTCGGTAACCTGCTTATGTTGACCTAAGACTTCAGGGACCCTGAAGTGAGTTACAGGGAGAGTCCTGATGCTGTCCTAGGATCCCGTACTCCAGCAGCTCTGAGTCTTGCAACTAGGCATGTGATCTAGCCTTGCCCTTGCCAGCTGACCTTCTCTGGGAGGCCTTGGGTCCCTAACCCCAGGCCTCAGTTGACCTAATCTCGAAAATGGGCAAGAGCCTGCACGTTCTCCCGCGGAGAGGCACACTCTGGGTGCAGCTTCTCCAGCCGCCTCTGCCAGGAGTCAGAGCCTTGCTCTCCCTGCGCTTAGGTCCCCGCCGAGGTGGTGCCCATCTCCCCTCCTGGTTGGGGGCGGGGGTTCTGTTGGGGCTTCGAGGCACTCACTGGCACAGCGGGCAGGCGAGGCGGCCGTCGGTGGCGCGGCCGCGCAGGCAGCCGGCGCAGAAGTCGTGGAAGCAGTCCAGCAGGCACGGGCGCTCGTACTGCGCGTGGCACAGCGGGCACACAAGCGGGTGGCCGCTCGCGGCGTCCAGGGCGCCCGGGCCCTCCAGGGGCGCGAAGATAGCTCCCGACATCTGCGGGGACAGCGCGGGAAGGCGGCGGGGCGGGCACGGTGCAGGGGCCCGTCCGCGGAGCCCGCGCCAGCTCCCGCGGCTCCCGGCCCTGCGCCGGCTCCCTCCTACCTATCCGGCCTGGACCCGACGGGGCGTCCAGCGGTCATGGAGCGAGGAGCAGCTGGGGCCCAGTGCTGGGGTCCGGAGCGCCAGGCGCAGAGTATGGCCAGAGTATGGCCCTGTGCCCGCCCTCCCAGTCTCTCCTGCACCCCCAGGTGGCCCCTGAAGGTCAGGCCGCTTCCTGCCCAACGCCCAGCCTCCCGCTGCCTCCACCTCTCCCACCTCCCCTCACTCCCACCGCAGGAATTCCCCTCCCGGTGTCCTCTGGGTGACCCGCAGGCGACACCCCTTCCGCGCCGGGCGCTCTGCCCGCGGCTCCGGCCACTGCCACTCCGCCCCCCGCCCGGGAGAAGAGGAGAAGAGGAGGCCGTACCTGCAAAGGATGGAGCCTAGGGTCCGAGGCTCCGACCAGACCCCGCCCGGGACGACAGTGCCCGGAGCACGGAGCCGCAGGAGCGCCGCGCAGAGTGAGGACCCGAGGACCTTGGCTGTGGGCTCCTCAGGGGTGCAGGGGCCCCCTGGCTAGGTCAGGTCTCTCCCGCCAGACTGGGACTGGGACAGGAATGGGTCTGCACGGCCCCATTTCCTCGACGGCCAATTGGGGGCGCCAGAGAGCAGCGGACGCCCCTCCGCAGACACCTCAGCGTTTGAGAGAGCGCAGGAGAGGGCTTCAATCCTTGGCCTGCCTTGGCTGGTTGGGGGCTCTCAGGCAAGTTACTGACCTCTTAGAGCCTCAGCACCTGGGTAAACAAGGCAGACCCCCGGTGATGGGGTGAGACTTCAAAGGAATAACGCAGGTGAAGTGAAATGCACATCCTAGGTTCCAAATATTTGAGGCCCACACCCCTATCACCAGCCCAGTTCCCAAAAAAGAGGTAGGTTTGGGTGGGCTAGTGTTAAACTAGGCTCTGAGCCTTTCCAGCAGGGCGCCTCTGCAGTTCTTGGCCTAGCGAGTGCTTGTTTATCCCAGTTTTATTTTCCCCCGAGTGCCCTCTTTCCCTAGGCCAAAGTTATCTGGAGTGTTATCCTGAGCTCCAGGAAAGCAGCCCCTGTCTCTGGCTTTCTTGCAATCACAGAGTCAAGCCCAGAGCCTGACCCACAGAAGGTGCTCAATAAAGTTGTACTAATTAGTTAGAAAAAACTTGGAGATAATATTTGAGCTGGGTTTTGAAGGACGAGTAGGAGTTTGCCAGGGGAAGACAGAAATTGAATTCTAGGCAGAAACTACCTGTTCTTTTAAGGGTCCTCCCTAGCTCTGGGTCCATTTGTGCTCTAAGTCATAATAACTGTAATAACAATGGGGGGCTGGCCCTGTGGCTTGGCGGTTAAGTGGGCGCGCTCCGCTACTGGTGGCCTGGGTTTGGATCCCAGGCGCGCACCGATGCACAGCTTCTCCGGCCATGCTGAGGCTGTGCCCCACATACAGCAACTAGAAGGATGTGCAACTATGACATACAACTATCTACTGGGGCTTTCAGGAAAAATAAAAAAAGGAGGAGGATTGGCAATAGATGTTAGCTCAGAGCTGGTCTTCCTCAGCAAAAAGGAGGAGGATTAGCACGGATGTTAGCTCAGGGCTGATCTTCCTCACACACACACAAAAAAATGAGCTTTAAAAAAAAAAAAGAACTTAAAAAAACAATGGCTAATGTTTATGGGCCAAGGAACTAATGAAAGTTTTTTTACTTGTATTAACTCATCTAATCCTGACAACAGCCTTAGGTGGTAGACAACATTAACCTAGTAAGTGGTAGGACTGGTACACACAACTGGGTGAGTGCTTTAGAAATGAACTGCATTACTTTCCCTCTTCAGGGGCAGTAGGAGGTGCATGTTGGTTCCTGATACTCAGGCTTATTTAATCCATCCATTCCTGTCTTCGTCTATTCGAGTAGTATTTACTGAGCATCTGCCATGGGCCGTACACAGAGAAGGGAACACACCAGCAAGGTTAACCAAGTGCACAAATGAAGGAGCACAATAAAGACAGACTGCATTAAAAGCTCCAAAGTAGGGGCCCGCCCCGTGGCGGAGCGGTTGAGTGCGCGCTCTCCGCTGCTGGCGGCCCGGGTTCAGATCCCAGGTGCGCACTGACTCACCGCTGGTCAGGTCATGCTGTGGCGGCATTCCACATAAGGTGGAGGAAGATGGGCACGGATGTTAGCCAGGGCCAGTCTTCCTTGGTAAAAAAGAGGAGGATTGGCATGGATGTTAGCTCAGGGCTGATCTTCCTCACACACACGCACACACACAAAAATCTCCGAAGAAAATAATCAGGATGATGTGATGGAGGGCAGCTGAGGGCACACTCATGGGCAGAGAGGGGCACTGAACCTGAGACCTTGGAGGACGAGAAGAAATCAGACACAAGAAAAGCCAGGAAGAGCTCAAAGCAGAGGGAACAGCAAGTACAACGCACCAGAAGTTGGGACAAATTTAGAGGAAAGAAAAGGAGAGCAGTGTGGGTGGAGATGGAGGGACTCAGGGTCAGGGTGGGGCTTCAGGATGGAGAGGTGAGTGAGGGGAGGGGTGTGGGGAGGAGGACGGGAGGCGAGAGTGGGTGGTGGGGGTGAGGATGGTCTACTTGATGCTCTAGATTAGAGATGTCAAGGAGGCCACTGGCTGTGTGAGTTAGGAGTCCAGGGAGGGGTCGAGGCTGTGCCCATAGACTTGGGGAGTTGTATTTATTTATTTACTTTTTTGTGAGGAAGATCAGCCCTGTGCTAACATCTGCCAATCCTCCTCTTGTTTTTGCTGAGGAAGACTGGCCCTGAGCTAACATCCGTGCCCATCTTCCTCCACTTTATGTGGGATGTCGCCACAGCATGGCCCGACAAGTGGTGCCTCGGTGTGCGCCCGGGATCCGAACCCGGGCCGCCAGCAGCGGAGCACGCACCTAACCGCCATGCCACGGGGCCGGCCCCACTGGGGAGTTGTATTTAAAGGCATGAGCCTGGGTCATGCTACAGGTCAAGTGTAGATAAAGATGAGAGGAGCTCTGTGCCCTCCAGCCCTTCAAGTCCCGGCAGGAGGAGGAGGCAGCAGGGGATGGAGAAGGAGCTGCCAGTGAGGTGGGAGGAAAACCAGGAGAGCTGGTGTCCTGGGGCCCTGGGCAGAAAGGTCAGCAAGGAGGAGGGAGTGACCTCAGGTGTCAGATGCTCCTAAGAGAAGCATGAAGAGGAGGCCTGAGAACTGACCCTGGTGCTCAGCAGGAGGACATCACCAGGGACCTTGAAGAGAGCTGTCCTGCTGGCTGGGGCGCAAAAGGCTGACCAGAGTGGGTTCTACAGAAAACAGGAGGAGAGAAATTTCAGACAGTGCACAGAGGCAACTCTTCCAAGAAATCTGGTGCAAAGAGATTATCTCAGTCAGTTCAGGCTGCTGTAACAAAAATACCACAGACTGGGTGATTTAAATAACAGAAATTTATTTCTTACAGTTCTGGAGGCTGGGAAGTCCAAGATCAAGGAGCAGGAGATTTGGTTCCTGGTGAGGGCCCTCTTCCTGGCTTGTAGCCTTCTTGCTGTGTGCTCACATGGTGGAGATCTCATGTTTCTTCACTTTACAAGGGCACCCATCTCATCATGGAGCCCCACCTTCATGACCTCATCCAAACCTAATCACCTCCCAAAGCCCCCACCTCCAAATACCATCACATTAGGGTTTCAACATATTAATTTTGGGGGACACAAACATTCAATCAATAGCAGAAAGGAGAGAAAAGGGGTGGTAACTGAAGGGGAATGTTGGGGGTCAAGAGATTGCTTTTCCTTTTTTAAGATGGGAGATGTTAAAGAATGGTTACATGCTGATGGGAATAATCCAGAGATAGGATACATTGATGATTTCGTGGGAGAGTGAGGGCTGTTGCAGTGAAGTCCTCAAGGAGGCAGCAGTATATGAGATTAATGCCCGCGTTGGGGTAGGCCTCAGATGGGGGTAAGGACACTTTTCTATAGTATCAGGAGGGAAGGCAGAGTAGGGTATAGATGTTGCCGGATGGTTAGGTGTGGAGGTGAGAGTGTTTGAAAATTTTCTTTGCATTGCTTCTACGTTTTCAATGAAAGAGCAATGGAAGTCATCAGCTGAGAGGGAGGTTTGGGGGAGAGGGGCTGGCATTCTGACCAGAGGTGTGAAATAGTCACTTAGGATTTTGAGATTGCCAGAAGGCCCCAAGGGCTTGCTTGGGCGTATCATTCAGGAGAAGCCACACTTGTTTTTTTTTTTGGTGAGAAAGATCTGGCCCTGAGCTAGTCTGTTGCCAACCTTCCTCTTCTTGCTTGAGAAAGATTGTCCCTGAGCTAACATCAGTGCCGATCTTCCTCTCTTTTTTGTATGTGGGATACCGCCCCAGCATGGCTTGATGAGCGGTGTGTAGGTCCATGCCCGGGATCTGAACCCATGAACCCTGGGCCGCCAAAGCGGAGCACACAAACGTAACCACTACACCACTGGGCCAGTCTCCACACTAGTTTTTTTAACAGAATATAATGCAAAGGATTTTTAAAGATTTTATTTATTTTATTTTTTTTCCCCCCAAAGCCCCAGTAGATAGTTGTATGTCATAGCTGCACATCCTTCTAGTTGCTGTATGTGGGACTCGGCCTCAGGATGGACGGAGAAGTGGTGCCTCGATGCGCACCCGGGATCCGAACCCGGGCCACCAGCATTGCAGCGTGGGCACTTAACCACCAAGCCACAGGGCCGGCCCTAATGCAAAGGATTTTTAACCTGGTATAAGGACTTGTAAACTAGGTCACTGGAGGGGTGAGATAAGAACAGGAGCAACTGCAGGAAGCAGCTACCACTCCTAGGGTGCTGTATTAAACTGCGGAGGCTGGAAGGAGGGGCCTCGCAGGGGGTGGATGCTCGGGTGGGGCTAGGGCCTCTGAGGAGAAGAATATGAGGCCGGTTCTCCAAGTGTCAGAATAACTGCAAACTGCATTCCACTGCTGCTTCTGGAACCTCCCATCTTCCCCCTCCAGGATGAAGAAGTAAGATGGGTGACAGTGACAGAACAAGCTGGAAGCAAACAGGAAGAAGTCTCTTCCTCCTCCTCCAGCCTTGCAGTCTTCCTTCTAGCCCCCTATTGAAAGAACGTAACGGGGGGCAGCTGGCGAAGCAGAAATGTGGTTTGCAGTCAGGAATAGCAGGGTCAGTTTGGAGCTTGGTCAACCGGCACAGTAGGCCTGATTTAAATCTAGGCCAGTCAGCATGGTGTATTTCCTCCCACCATGGTAATTGGGCTTCTACTAGGTGAGTACACTGCAGCCAGGTAAAGGGAGTGGAGGGTGTATGTAACTGAGTGATTACAATGCAGGACCCTGGAATATAACTGATAAGGACAGGAAGGGGTGTCAGTGGGTGAAAAGTAGTCCAGTCAATGGACTGTAGGCCTGGAGAGGAAGACCCTTGCTACTCCATGGCCGAGAAACGTCAGCGTCAGCATCAGCATCAGCATCAGCATCCCTGGGAGCTTGCGAGAAATGCAATCTCAAGCCACTGAGACCTGCTGAATTGGAACCTGCGTTTTAACCAGATCTCTAGGTGATTTCTGTCTACATGCCAGTTTGAGAAGCATTGGCAGAAGAATTTTTGCAACTAGGAAACTAGAAGGCGTGACCTGGAAAGCTAGAAGGTGGTGATGGGAGGGTGGGGGGCTTGAATTTGAGATTGTGAAAAGCTCCAACTTGAGAGTGTACCTGACTGCAGCAAGGAAGGCTAGCGCAGAGACACACAGCCCCTGGGCCTCTCAGCTGAGCACTTTGGGTATGTTCTTGGGAATTGGGACCCCAGGGCCGGAAGGGCCTCACCTCCCCAAGTTAGTGGGGTCGACTCCCATCCCACTAGCTGTTAATTTATTGCTTAGCAGATTTCCTTATTTTTCTCTTTCCAAAGTAGAGCGAACCCCTTTATTTCTCATTGGGCTCGTCCAGTCAGGCTCCCCCCTCCGATCGTTCGATCGTTTGCAGTGGGACAGGCCACCTGGCCTGCTTCCTCCCCCTACCACCCACCAGGCCTGAGAGACGATGGGCTTTGCATCCAGGGAAAACCAATCGCTCCCCGATGGTGCAGAACAGGGCGAAATGGTGGCGACCGAGGGGCGTGGCAGAGCGATTGGTACGGCCTGGGCCCTGCGTGCTCTGCGCGCTGCGGGCTCTTTGCGTCTGCGTAGTTCGTCCAACTCCCTTTCTGCCTCCGCTGCCGCCATGGCGCCCGTGGTTAGTATGGCTCCGCGTGAGGCCTTGGTTCCGGGAGAGGCACGTGGGCCTCGCCGGCCCGGCTCCTGCCCAACTCGCGCAGGACGGCGCACTGCAGCGGCCGGCCGGGGCTGGGCTGGCAGGCGGCCGGAGCGGGCCAGCGCCGCCGGGCCCGGCACGTTGCAGGCGGAGGAGGCCGTAGCCCGAGGCCGAGAGGGAGACCCGGAGCTCTCGGAGGCCGCGGCTCGGGCCCCTACCTGGGGCCGGCGGGGAGCTGGAGCGCCGAGGCTGCGGCCCTTGGAGCCCGGCCGGCGTCGGGCAGTCGGCGTCTGGGCCTGGTTACCTGGGCGGAGGGCGGGGGATGAGGAGTGGACCTGCCACTTCTGGGAGCCGCGCATCCGGGCAGCCTGCGGTCGCGACTCGGGGACGAGTGGGAGTGTCCACGGAAGGTGGCCTGGCCGGCCTGTGTTCGGAGAGACGCCAGGTTTTGAGGACCCCTGTAGCATGTGCCGAGGAAGTTAGTTCGTCAGGGCGCAGCTGTACAGACCCTTATTGGTGTAGGGTGAAGGTCCAGTTCCATTCTTTCTTAGCCGGGCTGGTACTGGGCTGAGCGGCGCCCTCATGTCGCTCTGCCTGCAGATCGTTCTCCTTCCAGGTTCCTAGGGGAAGGTTTTCCTGTCCTCCTCTGTTGGGACACCCTTGTGAACATTTCCGGTTCACCCACTGTTTCTGCCTGGGTGGGCTTTTAACGCCTGTATGCATTTGTATGGTTTTGGTTTAAAACCGTGATGGGAGCTATCAAGCCCATTGTGGGCAGGTCTTTTACTTGCTGATTGAATTTCCCCGGGGCTAGATCTTACAGCAGTCCTTTTGATTGTTACTAGAAAGATATGTCTTAGAAAGAAAAAAGTCATTTTTGCAGTAGTAAGTGTTTGAAAAGTTCGTCCAATTGATACAAGTGTTAGATGAAGTTCTTTTAAATATGAAGGGAGGTAAGATGTGTTGTTGGAAAAGTCTTTAGATTCTGCAAAGCTTTTTAAAGTGGAAGTGCAGGTAAGTGGGTTGTACAAATGGTCTTTTAATGGTGTTGGAGTTTGTAGAGGGAGAATATTAATATAAACTTCTTTGTGAGAGTAAAGGAACTGGAACTTTGTAGGATGTGCTCAAACTGATAGTTTGAAAGTGCTAATTCATAGATTAAGTCAGTCAGAAGGCCAGAAACTGTTGACAGTAGTGTTGAGATTAGAACCTAAGTTTTAGCCTTACCCTTGTTCCAGCTGGGTTAGACGTGCTGCCAGGATGTGCAGTTCCCGGTGCAGTTCTGAGAAGGTGAGCGAGACAGGATCCAGGGAGAACACCTAAACCGGATCAGGACCCTAGTCTGGAGAGTTAGGACAGGTGTTGATTTCAGATTAAAATTGTTTTAGGTATGCAAGGTGTTTGTATGCTTGTGCCCTAATCCTGGAATGAAATAAATGAGTATTTCTTGAAACTTTTATTTTGGAAATTTTAGGGCAAATAAAAGGAAACGTTCATTTTATTGTGGTCTGTAAGCTAACAGACCTTGGTGCCCATAGAGGATGGGGAGGTTGGAAAGTATAAATAGGTCAAGAGTGCTAGAATGGTTTCCCCTTCAAAGGGGCATGACCCCAGCCCCCTAAGTTGCAGAGCAGCATCTTGGGTATTATTTCTCCTCCAGTCTTGGGCAGAGCATGGCTCTTGGCGCCCTTCAAGGGAACCCAACTCCATGGGTTTTGCATTTGTATGTGCTTTTATGCCTCTGGCATTTTTGGTTCTGTTATTTATTTATTTTTTGAGTTGGTTTTGACTTCATCTCTTACCGTTTGTATACTTTCTTAGAAAAAGCTTGTGGCGAAGGGGGGCAAAAAAAAGAAGCAGGTCCTGAAGTTTACCCTTGACTGCACCCACCCTGTAGAAGATGGAATCATGGATGCTGCCAATTTTGTAAGTTATACCCTTGGTGCCACTCAGGACAGTATTGAACCTTTTGAGATATTGCTGAGAAAACCTACAGGAGCACGTTTCTGTTTTCAGGCTCAGAGGCAACTCTGCAGATCTGGCTCGAACATTTAACTCTTCATCTGGTCTAGTTATTTGTTTCTAAGTCTTGCTTTCTCGTGTGTGTTACAGAGTTGTGAGGAATAAGCGAGATGGACTCTAGCACATCATTACCTTATTTTCTTCTTTTCCTCCTTTGGTTTCCAAAAATGATTTCACTTAAAAGTTACTAGGCAACAGGCAGACTCCAGTGGATCCAGTGTCCCCTTTGCGCTTTGCCGTGTTTAAGCATAGGCTGTGGGCCTTGATCCTCACCTACAAGGGGCTGCCTCCGTCGTGGGCCTGACTACTAGGCTGTGGAGCGTTGGACAGAAGGCAGCATCTCCTCAAGCTTTCCATGTTATTAAGCATCAGAGAGTCAGTGTTTTGTTTTGTTTTTTTTTTTTTAATTTTATTTATTTATTTTTTTCCCCCCAAAGCCCCAGTAGATAGTTGTACATCATAGTTGCACATCCTTCTAGTTGCTGTATGTGGGACGCGGCCTCAGCATAGCCAGAGAAACGGCTCATCGGTGTGCGCCCAGGATCCAAACCCGGGCTGCCAGCAGCAGAGCGCGCGCACTTAACCGCTAAGCCACGGGGCCGGCCCAGAGCTTCAGTGTTGACGTTAAAATATTCTGCTTGCTGACTTGTAATTGAAGCTTGGTTTTATTCAGACTTGCTCTGTATTGATTTTGCCCTTATATTTGGCCCCATTCCCCAATATCCCTCTATTTCACTTAAATCTAGAAAAGTTAACCTAATTGCCACATTTTGACTCTGCAACCTGGTTTTGGCATTTTACTCTTTTCTTTCTCGTATTCTTCTTCTCCACACTTGGGGAATTCAGATTTCTTATTGTGCAGAAGCCTCCTAAATTTACATTTGCACTTCAGCCTCCAGAAGGTCAACTATTGCCAAGATGGTATCATTACAACAGAATAATTAGAATACAAAAGAATAATTTTGAAATAAAGAAAAAAGCTCGGCCTATGGCCACTAATTACACAGAATGGAATTCAGGCACCTTCTTGTGCTTCACTGCCTTTCGTGTCCCTGCACTGCCCCAGAAGTCCTTCAGTTGGCTCCTTAGTTCTCTCTCTCCAGTGTCTTCTTGCTTTTATCTGTGGCCTCCTTTCCCTCCTAATTTCTGTGGCTTCTTCCAGTTTGTGTCTCTGGTGGCCCTGTCCTGCCATCATTCCCTCCTCCCTCCCTCTATGCTCATCTGTGTATGTGATTGTCTTTCCTTCTAGAAGCCTCCTTAGGATAGAAAACTTGAGTCGTTTATGAGTCTAAGATGCAAAAGGCAAGATTTCTGATCTAATCGCTCTACCCCATGATCAGTTGACATATTGTGTATTGGAGTTTTTAAGTAGACGATTGAAGGAGTTTGGAGCTGAAAGGGACTTAATATCATTGCAACAGCGAGAAAACCAAAGAATCCTCCTTTTTGGACAAAGACCCCTAAAGCCCATGGAGGTGAATGACCAGCCCAGGCTTCCACAGGGGTTTGCCAAGAGTCCACCTCTGGGCTACTGCCCCTTCTGTACCATGCATGTGGCCCCTGAGCAGAGATCTGTAATTGTTTTGGTCACTGTATGTTTTTGTTCCTTCTACTAGGTTGAAGACTTCCTTTCTATGATCCTACTGAGGACAGTGCTCTATACTCCTTAGGTTCAGAAGTGGCTTGCAACCTTGGTTGCCTGCATGTTGTAACAGTATGGCCCTGGGCTTCCTGTCTACGCTTGACCCGGGAGTCAAAGCCTTCCATAGAGAGGCACGTTGGACCTTGTGCGCCAGCAGTTAATAATGTTCACGCGAGGGTGGTGTTTTCATATTATTCCTGTAAATCAAGTTGAATAGTGTCATTTTCTAATCGCTGTTCCTAGATTTCAGACCTTATATAATAGCTAAAGATTTGCTATCATTTTTTTTTTTTAAGGACTGAACATTTAAACAACCAGATTTGTTCAGTGTTAGGAGTGTAAAAAATAAAATTGCTGGTGAGAAGGGTGAACCTGTTGCTTCTCTAATTGGTCTATTTAACGATTTCTATAGGAGCAGTTTCTTCAGGAGAGAATCAAAGTGAATGGAAAAGCTGGGAATCTCGGTGGAGGGGTTGTGACCATCGAGAGGAGCAAGAGCAAGATTACTGTAACTTCTGAGGTGCCTTTTTCCAAAAGGTATGGGTGCGAGATGAGTGTCACTTGCCTGTGTCTTAGTGCTGAGCTTCCCACCCTCGGCCTGGACAGGAATGCTGCTGCCTGTAGAGAAGTTTGTTTTGTGGTTGCATCTGTTACTTCTGGAACAGTGCCCAGTGCAAGGAGGCAGTGAATGAATGAATGTTATTATGGTAGTTCAAAGTATTCAACTTTTGGTAGTTTTAAAAATTTTGTTTTGCATAGGCTGAAGTATTTTAAGCAATAAAGGCACTCAGACTTGCTTAGACTGTATTCTAAAAAATGAAGATATTGCTTCCTCTGCCTCTAGATCACAGTGAAGAGTTAGGTTTTTTTTTTTTTTTTTTTTGCTGGGGAAGAGTTGTCCTGAGCTAACATCTGTTGCCAATCTTCCTCTTTTTGCTTGAGGAAGATTTGCCTTGAGCTAACATCTGTGCCAGTCTTCCTCTGTTTTGTATGTGGGTTGCTGCCACGGCATGGCCACCAATGAGTGGTATAGGTCCCCACCTGGGAACAGAACCCGGGCCGCCGAAGCAGAGCACATGGAACTTAACCACTAGGCCACGGGGCCAGCTGCAGAAGCTTTCATTTCTAATTCTATGTATTTTTTTTTTTTCCCTGTAAGTACTACTGTAATTGGACGAGGAATCTGAAATCTCAGTTTAAACTGAAGCCACTCCATTTAGTTTCTGTGAGCCCATTTTTTTCTAAGTTAAGACATCAATTCACTTGCCCTGCTATATTATATAGTTTTTGTTTTGAGGATAAGGTTAAAACACTTTCTTTTTTTTTTTTAAAGATTTTATTTATTTATTTTTTTCCCGCAAAGCCCCAGTAGATAGTTGTATGTCATAGCTGCACATCCTTCTAGTTGCTGTATGTGGGATGCGGCCTCCGCATGGCCGGAGAAGCGGTGCGTAGGTGCGCACCTGGGGTCCGAACCCGGGCCACCAGCAGCGGAGCGCGCGCACTTAACCGCTAAGCCACGGGGCCGGACCAAAAACACTTTCCAAGTCACTAAAGAATTGGACATGTGTATACTTAGCTCCTAGCCCAGAGCCTGGGATATTGTATTCTTAGGAGCTCTTAATCAGACTGAATCGAGTAGTGGGAAATTTGAATATGTGTTAGGACAAAATGGTTATAGTTAAGCCTTTGCTTTTATTTTTAGCTAGAGCAGTCAAGAAGTGACTTTAAAGCTTAAGTGAAGTATTCATATTCTGCCAGCTGAGTTATTTGTGTGGAAGGCGATGTGATAGAGAGACCGGTGCGACTAACTTGCTGGGCTTCCTCAGAGCCCGTGAGGAAGGTCCTTCTGCGACCCATTTCCCTGTTTACCAACCTAGAGTGAGACTGTCCCCCAACACGTCTCACTTCCGTTTTCACAAATTTTCTCTTTTTTTACCCATTGGAGAAGGAAAGGAGCCTTAATCTTCTATTGAAGCTTTCCTTTCTTGATGATAACAGTTTCATTTTCTGGAAACGTTCAGGGTGTTCCTAATGTAGGACTTCTTGCTTGTCTCTGAACGTCTGCAGCCTTTCACCTCGCTTCCACCCGACATTCTGTTATGAAAACTTTCAAACCACTGGAACTTTTGAATTAACCACCTCACCTGAATACAAAATGATAGAAATAATAAATGAACAAAAAGAATAACTTCTTAGATGGAACGACCAAATTGATTTATTTTTATGTAGGGAAAAGTGGATAGAATTGAACTGAGATCTTCACCTTTGTGAAGATTGCTTTGTTGGTGTAACACTGTTGAGCAGTATTCATTTCTTGGAGATGGTGAGTTGGTTGTTTGGTTAACATTTGGGTCTTTGCTAATATGTCCGAATTTGCCTGTGCTTCTCATTTAGTCCTCATAACAGTCTGAAGAGATGTTAAGTATCATGAGTCCCATTTTATAGAGGGAGAAACTGAGGTTTGGAAAGGTTATTTGCCCAGCAGTGGATTTGCTCGGCTTCTGTTCCCTCTTCTCTTTATGGCTTTGGGAAGATGCTGGAATAGATAAACCTCAGGGATTCATAAGCAAACAGGTGGGAGAAGAAACAACATGTGGGGTTTATGTTGAGCACAAAAGCCCTTGCTGCCTTTATATAAATAGCAAGTTTCCTAATGAGCAGTTGGCTGTGGTGCCTGCTCAGCTCTCGCCCAGGCTAAGGCGGGCAGACAGATTAAGAAAGCTGAGTGCTCTCGCTCCAGCGCTGGAGGGCAAGCAGTGGCAGGGTGGCGCCCTCTTCTGGGGCACTGGGTGGTAAGCCTCACGTAGCAGAGATGAGTGTATGTAACACAGCCCCAAGAAGCAATCTCAGTAACCTGAACAACCTCAAAAAGGAGGCTTGAATCAATGAGGTGATGCATGGAAAGTACTTGGAGCTCACTGGAAACCCAGTGATTTCTCAATAAAAGCTATTAAGGTTGTGCTTAATTGTCAAATTACTACCATGATATCTTTCTCCAGTGGTTGGTAAAAGCCATTTTATAGGCGTTTGCTGTTTAATGGACGACTGTTACATCTTCTTATCTGTTCTCATTTTTATTGCTAGTTTAGATGAAACGTGGCTGGTATTCTTGTTAGAACATGGGCTGGGTATATTTGCTTTATCTTTGCCATTTTTTGAGCAGTGGGAAAACACCTTGAATTGTAATGATTTTGAACATGTGGGTTTCATAAAAGTTACATCGTTTCAGAATGCAAGAAGGCTGTGTGTCTAGTGGAGTTCTCAAGTGTTCTTTCTCTGCAGGTATTTGAAATATCTCACCAAAAAATATTTGAAGAAGAATAACCTACGTGATTGGTTGCGCGTAGTTGCTAACAGCAAAGAGAGTTACGAATTGCGTTACTTCCAGATTAATCAAGATGAAGAAGAGGAGGAAGATGAGGATTAAAATTCATTTATCTGGATATTTTGTATGAGTTCTTAAATAAAACATGGGAACCAAATTGGTGGTTATCCTTGTATCTCTGCAATGTGGACTGAACAGAAAATTAGAAATCATAGTAAAAGGGCTTCATTTGGGCTGCCATTCATTTATTTGTAAGTAGACTTTTTTTCTGCTGGAAAATTTCAGTTCTCATGGTAGCAATACCGGAATAGAAGGGTATGGCTCTTTAAGGGAACTGCCGGCAATTTGACACTGAGGAGGTGGGTAAGGATGTGGAGCTGTGAGCTTCCGTTTGTCACTATTTTACTTTAAAAAGTATGACAGTTTTATCTGGTGCTTTTCTCAAAGATTCAGGAATACAAACGTAGGGACTCAGTTCACGGAAAGCAAAACCAGTGACTTCCTTCTGGGGTTCTCTTGCAGGAAAATGGCAGTGGTGATAAAAACAGGGCTCTGGGGCATTTGTCTTTTCATTTTTGATTACACATTATTCTTCATGAACACAATTATTATATATGTTAATCCTTTTTCTTCCTATAGAAGTAAAATGTTGGTCCTTTGGTGTTGCTGCATATTCTTCTATCCCTCAGGAAAGGGTTTGGAGAGCGATTGTAAAAAGTGCCAGGTTTTAAATTAAGTAAAATGAATTTGTAAATAATCATTGTGTCTACAAGTCTTTGCAACAAACTCACTTTGGCCCCCAGCAGAGGGAGCTGGAGATGAGGGAGAGTAGAGCTTCCGGAGGTGGATGGTGTGCCTTTCCCGGCGGCGTTGATATCCAGAGCTCTGGAGTCTTCACTGGGCGGGCAGGAAGGAGAAGCGATTGGGAGACAGTTGCTGTTGAGGAGACGAGAAAGAAAGGTTGAGATGCCCCCGGAACAGTCGCTTTCATGCCATTTAGGCCATGGCTGGATTTAATGTCAGAAGTCATTCTACAAACTGACTTTAAGTAGGACCAAACTGAAAGTGGTGTTTCTGCAGAAAACCGGGTCTTGTCTCAGGGTTTGGTTGCCATGTGTGTAGACGCTAGCGATCTGTGAAAGGTTATTAATGAGGTTGTAAAGATGTAATTGTTGCTGACAGAAAATCAAGAGTATACTTTGAAAAGAGACCCTGATGCCTTATAGTGCCCTTCTAAAATCTTCTAAACAATTCTGTAGAACTGTCTGCATTGTCTTAAAATTACGGTGTATAAAATTCATGTTTTTAAGAGCTTGCCTACAGCTAATTTCCACACCTGAAATTCTTGAGCTCTGCTAGTCACATAGCTGGAAATTAAATGTTTGAGTCCTTCCTTGGCTCCAGTTTAACATTTGGTGCTCCTTGGATTGAATTTAACATGTTGAGGCTTTGCAATTTCATTTGTGGTAAAGGCTCTAGCATTTTCTATTTCTATGCAAATTTCTTGAAGCAGAATCCTTTGCCTGTTTCTCTGCCCTCACAGAAGGCAGGGTTTCTTTCAAATTAAACTGAGGCATCAGTTGCTCTTTGGCACTGTCCCTTACCATGATCACTAACTGTTAGTAAGTTCATGACTTGGGTTTGCAAATTTTACTTGTTTGCTGCATTGATGTTCCATTATAGTAATTCTTAGTTTGGTTGTAAAAAATTAACCCTGGGCTGAAATTAGCATATAAGGTTTTTTTTAAGCTACTCCCAGATTCTAAAACTTGTAATAAAATTGAAACTCATTGGTTTTTCTATGCCTTTTTGAACTCTTGTAATTGAGTTTTGATCACATTTTATATTAAAGTGGCTAACACATGGCTACTATTATTGTGCAAGGCTTTTTTCTTTTTTAAAGGATTGGCATGTTAATCTGTTTAGCAACAAAAATTTTGTCCTCACAGATTAATTGCTGTACCGACAATGACCTTGGTTTTCATTAAGCTTGAGAAAAAAATGTGTCCTTTGTTCCCATTTTTTCACCTTAGTTGTGCTGCAGTGCCTCAGTGAGATTCTGGAGTTGACTGTAACTGAGCTCTCCATGTAGAATTTCTTCAGATTCAGAGCCAGGAGGATAACTTTGCAAACAAATGACTTTTTGTGATGGGGGATGTGTCATGTGAACCTGAGTCCCGTTAAACCCATTACACCAGCTGTGCTTGAACCCCATTTTAGACCAATTTCATTTTTATCTGTCTTGCCTCATGGCCCACCTGCCAGATCTGAAATATTCAAGGCACAGGACCGGATTGGGTCATGGAGAGTTTCCAGCTGAGATTTAAGTTCATAAAAGTGAAATAGGCAGTTGGTACAGTCTTGTTTTCAGCTGGCTCTGGTTACCAACACCATCTCTCCCTTGGCTTGATCCATACCATCTCTGTCGGAAGACTAAATATTTGTTTTTTTTCCTTAAAGCCTCAGCGACCCCTTTCTCCCATGGCTTTTTCAGGGTGAAACTGTGCTCTTTTCTAAGTCATGTCATCCTCTTAGCTCTTCAGGAAGACGTCCTAACTGTTCACCAGTGGTGCCTAGCACAGGTGTTCAGAAACATTTGTGTGTAGAAACGGAGGAAAGTGGCAGAGTTTAATCATATCAGATATTTAAGACGGTCAAAATTACAGAATGTTCTGGGGTATTTAGACCTCAGCCTTTTTAGGGGACATGATTTCTTGGAAGGTGAGCAGGACCCCAGTGAGCGGTAATGGGTCCTTGGTCAAGTCGCTGGTAGCCTCAGGAGAGCCTGCAAGTTGGCTTTGGCAGCTTGCTTTCATTTCCTTCCTCTTGCTGCCAGGTCCTTGTGACTTCTGGTGACACCCCCCCCCCCCCCCCGCCACCTTATCAAGTGCTGGAAGCAGACCGGTGCTTGGCCCCTCCCTGTGAGGGGCACACACACCTAGGATGTGGGTTCCTGACGAGACAACCACAGATTTGGCAGGACCAAGCAGACAGACCTGCCTTTCGATAAACTCAGAACACGGGGCTGGCAGGGGTCAGAAGCCACCCCGAGGGAAAAGGACCTGGGTAGTCTCCTGCTGGAGGTGTTGGCTGAATCCCGGTAATGGGCCTCTGTTCTTTGCAGTAATACGCTGTGGAGGTCACTTCTCTTTCTGGAGGGAGAGGAAGGTAGGAAAGAGGCCTGTTTGGGGGATTTGCCATCTCAGCAAGGAGGTGGTGTGGAAGGAGGCAGGTGGAGGGCTGCCTCTTAAATGAAGCCATAATGGTGTTTATCTCAGGGAAGAAAAATTAAGAATTTGTAATCCAGACATTTTCCTATCTTTCCTATATTTGGGAGGATTTGAGAATCCACAATCTTTTTTCTAGGCTATTTCAGGCCTTCCTAAAACTGTTAAGGCTGCGCTGACCAGCTGAGTGAGTTAGCTGCTACCACAGTTCCCAGAAAGAACCCCTAAAATGCTTTAATTGAAGTCAAGTACTTCGCTTCAGGGCCATGGCCAGGAGTCTGCCTTTTTGAGAAGCCCCTCCCCCCATTCCCAGCAACCGGAAGAGATTTGGATTCAGGTGGGGCATGGCCCTTGCTTTGAGAAACAGGCTTCAAGTACAAGGGAGGTCTTGGTGGGCAGGGGGCGCTCACCCTTCATTTCAGAGGACCCTGCAACCCTGAGAGTGACAGTCTCCCCCATCTCCGGTGAGAGGCTGCAGAGTTTTCACCCCAGGGCACTGGCTGGGAGGGGTGTAGGAACAAGCACTTCACTGCAGAAGCCTAGGGTCACGTCAGGGCCATCAGGTGGCCACACTGGGATATATTGCTAAAGGAACCGGCCTCAGGCAGGACTTAAGGGGTGCCTGTGTGACAGATTCTGGAGTTGAGTGGGGTATGTGCTGAAGATACCAGCTATTGCAGCCCTGTTCTCGGAAAACCCTTTTTTCCTTGGTGCTTTCATAACCAATATATTTTTTAAAAATATTTTGATTTTGAATTGTCACTGAGGTGAAATTACAAGGTCTGTGCTCAGCAAGCATGAGAATCTTGTCTCCTAAAACTCTAATGATAGACTTGTTCTCGGAATTGCAGAGTTTGTTGAATTTTTACCTTTTTAGGGATTGCTTTCAACATCAGGCATTTGGGGGTCCATTGTCATTAAAGTGCACATTTAATAGTTTAACAGTCAGTTCTCCTTTAAATATTGGTGGAAATTTCTAGTCAAAAGTCCATTTGTTTCTGCCATTCCAGGGTTGGTTTTGTTTCGTTTGTGGTCAGTAAGTCATGTCACCTGGCCACAGCCACCAGCAAGAACAAGGATGGGGAGAGGAGTATGAGTGATGAGCATCTCGACTCTAATTTGTTGCCAAATTGAGCAGCTGGAACTGCTCTTTCTTGAGTGACGTCTTGCCTTTCTTAGCCTTGCCCTGGGAATTGGAGCCAAGGTTAATGGTGTGTGCGTGTGGTGGGGGGCTTTCTGGCGATGGGAAGTACTGTAAGTCACAGTTTCTCTAGAGTGGGACAGGGCACCTGTGCAAGTGTCTAGACCTCATCCCCCCATCTGGGAGGGGTTGGGGGCTGGGCTGGTAACTGAGAGGTGGGCATGCTTGGTGGCACTTAGAGTTTTTTCCTGGATGGTTGACATTTGGGAAGACAGAAAGTCCGGAAAGAGCAAGGCAGTCTTGCTGGCGAAAATGTAGGCCTGTCAGAGTGGCGGTGATTTGGGGCCCCTCAGCCAGAAGCCCAGTGATGTGAAGTACAGCCTTAGACGCGAGAAGCTCTCTGCTTTCTTAGTTCGCCTCCCTTTGCCCTTGTAGGCTGTCTGCCCTGGGCTGGTTCAACATCTCTCTATAATGTAGTTTAAAAGTGATCCAGGAGATGAAGGAGATTCCCAGCGCCCTGCACTGTGATCCTGGAGGCTGGACAGACCTGCTCTTGCCCAGCAATGAATGAAGAGGAGTTTTTTTGGGGGCTTGCTGGCAATTCATTTGGATGGGAAGGGGGAGGAAAAATTTGCTACACATCTTTCCAGCACTCTTGAGGCCATCCATCACCTTCTGATTACCTTGGACTCACTGTGGCTTGAGTTGTGGCAACCTCCCCAAGAGGTCTTGCATGAGGGCCCTGGCCAAGCAGGCGTGACTCTTTTGGTTCCCCAAAGGCCTCAGGAAAGGGAGAGCCCTTCTGGCGATACCAGTGTGGCATGGATACTGGTGAACGCCACCTGGATGGGGCAGGTGCTCAGCCAAGACCTGAGGGATTGGTGCTAGACAGGAGGGAGATCTTCCCCTTGCTTCCTCTTGGCTTCCCAACTCAGGCAGATCCTGCGGGTCCCTGACAGCCACGTGGTGCTCCAGCGCGGGGATCAGCCCGCTGCCCTTGAATGTGTCTGGCTGGAGGCAGTGAGGTGAGGGTACCCTCCCTTTATTGGCCATTCTAGGTTAGCGCGCTGGCTATCCTGCCGGCCGCTGAAACTTTTGCGTTCTAAGAGTAGCTTTAAGACGTGCTGCAGCCGAGACTGGAGGCGCTCATTTAAAATTCCAGGCTCGCTCCCGAGGGCTCTGGGCTTCATCTTCACCTTTAACAACGGAGGGCTGGCGGCGGCTCCTCCCCGCTCCGCGACAGGTGTCGCTTCTGAGCGGGAGTTTTGGGCACAGAGAACGCAGATCTGCACCA